CCGGCCATGCTGAGGCCGCGTCCCACATACAGCAACTAGAAGGATGTGCAACTATGACATACAACTATCTACTGGGGCTTTGGGGGGAAAAAAATTAAAAAAAAAAAAAGAATTATGACTTCCAATGGACTGTGCCTTCTTGTTTTAAAATGTAGACTTTATTATTACTCAGGTGTGGTTAGGCCAACAGATCAGGAGACAACTGCTGCTGAGAATACAGTGTGTTACTCAACAGTTCCTAAGAGGAGGAGGGCCCGTCACACCATGCAGGGCCACGCGGGAAAGCACCAGTGTTGGTCCGGAGGCAGAGGGTGTGAGGGGAAAACAGGGGCCTACGTTATAGTTTCTGTGGGAAGGAACAAGCAAGACAGGGTAAGCAGGCTTAGGACTGGCTAGTTTGAATAATTTCAGCGGGCTCTGAGTGTAGTGGCTGTCTCTACTTGTCTGGTACCTGGCCCTGGGGTGATTAGAGCAGGGGGGTGTTGGCCCTGAGTGTGAGAGCCTGATAAAGGGGGTGGTTGGAGTGTGGGCTCTGGGTTGGTGGGTTTGCATATGAGAGTGGTACTCCTGTGGCAAGTTGTTTTCTATCTCCAGGAATTAGCTAAACCTCGGAGGGGCAGTCCCTCTGGTGTCAGCAAGACCCCAATATATCAAAGCATCAGAAAATACAAAAAATAAAAAACAGGGTTAATACAATTCCCCTCACCGTGACGTTTGTTCTTTCCTTTAAATAAGCTATATGGGAATCAAATTATTAGAAGGCTACGCAGTGAGTATCTAATCAGAATAAGGATAGTTAGTTTTATAATTTGAGATTTTCAAAAGGTTCAGGTACTGGATGCCTGATGGGTGTGCCTCCACAAAGAATATGCCAGGCAGGTGTTCACCACCTTCCCTGGGCACTGCTTGGATGGGCATTGTCGACACTTGTCTCGGTAACTGGGGTTGCCGCGTCCTCCACAAATTTACCCTTGCCATCAACGGTATTGGCTGTACTCTGGAAATCCTAGCCACGAGTAACCAAAAATGGCACCTGTCAAACTAATGAATGAAGGGTCATCGTACCTTTAAGTTCAAGTTAAACCATACTTTTACGTTGTTAAAATATAACTTTAAATATATATATATTCACACAGACAAGCACACGGCCGATTCCTGTTGCAACACCTATGACTTGCCATCGAGATCCCAGTGACATATTCCACTTGAGGGAGTGAGAAGTCCCATTGGATGGTTTTACAGTCAGGCTCAGTCTCAGCTCCTAAAATGTTCTTAGGATTGCTAGAAGGCTAAAAATTTTCCAAATATGGCCAACAAAGCTTTAATCCTAGTAAATATTTTTTTTATGTTGGGATGAGAATAGCAACAAAAGTGATTCTTTCTTTTTTTTCTATTTACTCAAAGTAAACAAATGGGGCACAATTTCTCTTGAAATTATGCTGAAATATTTACCATCAGTATTTGAGATACATAAAAATGAGTGATAATCAAAATGACATTTTAAAATCTTTATTGATACCATTTTATGAACTAATCCAGTTACATATTCTTCCAAATTGTATCCTCACAGCTTAAAGCAAAGTACTTTTCTCAGTACTAAAACTTGCAAAAAAGGGTTTAGCTACCTATAAACATCAGGCACAATTCTAAATTCTGAATCAAAAAATATTTCTAATGTAATTAATATTAATGTTCTTCAAATGGAAAACCTCCAATTATTTTTTTTCAAACAAAAGCCACAAAAAATTAAATAATTACTATGTACATCACAACGTGCTTATATCAAATTACCCAGAACAGCATCATGCCAATTGTTAGGATCTCCTCCACTGATGGAAGGCGAAGAAATAAAGTTTTATATGACAATCATCAAATTAACACACTCAGGTTTTGTATAGTTTGATCTATTCTTTGTTGTAAAACAGCTAGATTGAAATAAGAACTCTTTATATAAACACCACATTTTGAAATCGTATAGATAATTTAGTCATTTTATAATACTGTATGATGGTAGCATGGTATTCATTTATTTTGTTAGAAATTATTCACAGGTCCTAAAATACTAGATGATTGGAATGTAACACTAGGGAATTTATCCTTACATATCCTTATTATTTAAATGTCTAATAATTATATATCAGAAATAAAAAGATATTGTTTAATATTGAGTGAATATTTAGTATATTTTGTAATTAAGTTTCTACTGGCTTTCTTAATTTTAGCTAACCTAAGATAATCTAAGAATCAGTTTTTCTTTTTTAAAACAAAGCAAGCATTTAGTTTGTATTTGTGATAAATCCCAAACTTTTTTCTTTCTCAGAAAGACAAGAATAATTTGATATAAGTAAAGAGCATCGTTTTTAACTTTTATATTATCTTGTTATTGGGAACCTATGGATATGCTTCAAAAAATAATAACAGGAATGAAAAGATATGGAGAAAGAATAATTCCGTAAGATAATGTTATAGGAACGTTTGTTTAAAAAACAAAATAAAGCAAAAGACAGCACACAGACACTTGGCCTCGGTTGTCACTAGCTTGTAAAACTCGGAGCTGCCGTTTTGACACTGACGAAGCTGACAACATGAGTATTAGCTGCCCAGTCTACTATAATGGTTGACCTTTTAAAATTTTAATTAGATTTTCACCCACCTGCAGTCAACATTTTTTAAGAATTAGTTCATTCTTTCTTTGTGGCTTAGGCTTATTGATCATAGAAAATTTTATAACTGTCAATGTTTTCCTTTATGCTTTTGACCTCATGGAAAATTACAATCTTTCTTATTTATTGATTTGAAATGTTCAAAGAAACTTATTGACTTGAACACAATGTTTCCTAATAAAATATTTGGCAAATCTGAAATTTTTTAAGTTATCTCCAACATAGGTGACCTTTGTTCTTTGCTGATTTTTGTTTAAATTAAAAACTGGGACGACATGAAGGTTGTTAAAATATTGGAAGTTTTGAGAAAAATAGCTTTAATTTTGTTTGAGAGAATTTCCTCAGCAGAAACTATATATTATTTGTGTGTTCACAGTACTTAGTATGATACACAGTACGTTTTGATCTCCCTAACCATTATGGATTAACTGATTACAAGATTTAAAAGGATGAACATTTGAGATTTCTTCTCTAGTTCTATATTTCTGATATAGACATTTGATCAAAATGTGTCTTCTAGCCATCTCCTAAAAATTTACTAATTGCTTAATTTGTTCTGTTTGCAATGATTGTCTCCTTAACAACATTTTCTTACTTTTGACTTCTTTAGGGAAGATAGGAACTGTTGGCATAAGCACTTTTTGACCACAAGAAAGAAGGCTGGAAATCTTATTGCTGACATTGATATCTGAGATGGGAGGGTGCGGACTCACATTTAAGGGTGGTAGAAATCCTGGTCTGGTCTGGGTAATACCATGATCTAAAGGGAAAGCTCCTGAACCACGCCTTTCTAAAACTGCATGATTTCTCCTGCTCAGGGGCCCTGGGGGGATATTCTCCAACAATTCTTTGGACCCTGACAACAAGGAAGAAGAGGGTGAGAGGATCTTTTTCTTTCCTATAAATGCTTTGCCATCTTCCAAGGTTGCAGGGGTTAGACCAGCTGAGAGCTGGGAATCAGAGCTGTAGTGATTAGCCCCTGAGTTTCTTTTCTGAACTATATTTCTTAAGGTGGAAGCAAATATTGTCTGGTTAGAGTCTGGGTCCTGGTCAACAGGGATTTCAATGCATTGTTGATTTCCTTCTGAAAAAAATGATTGATAATTTATTTCATCATATGACATCTTTCTTGAGCTCGCCTGATCAAAGGCTCTTAGCAAATGTGCAGTGTCTTTTATATCAATGCTTTGGTGCCTGGTGATGAATCGCTTGGAAAGTGCCAGCCCATTGGTTTTGTAGGATAATTCTTCCTCTGGAGTAATATCCTGGAGCTCCTCTTGCAAAGAGGCCACTCTGTGCTGGTGCATTAATGAGGGGGGACTCTTGATCCAGGGTGGGGCCTGGGGTAGCTTGGGCCCATTAGGAGCCACAGCAGGCTTCCTCACAGGGGAGCCTGGGTCCAGTGTATCATCACTGCTTCCTGAGGGCTCCAGATCTTTAAAGCCAAAAAGTGTCATTTCGGTTTCAGGAGAATGTGGAAGTGGCGACGAGGCTGTTTTTATGTCTATTTCTGAAGGAGTGGCACAGGTGGCTGGCGCAGGACTCCCGTCTGTATCCCCAGGAGGCATGTTTAAGTACTGTCTGGTTGTGTGCCTGCCAGAGGGTGATTTCGCTGTCGTTATGATAATGACCTCTTTCCCTTTTGCCTTGCAGGCACTAAGCAGAACTTTCAGGGTCTCTCTATCTTCTGAATTTATAGCATAAACGAGGGCTGAGTAACTAGAATGGTCTTGCAAGCTGAGATCAGCCCCACTCTTGAGAAGCAGAGACACGACTTCTGGACCGGCTTTTTCTAAGCAAGCATGCATCAGAGCAGTTTTCCCAGACTTGTCCTGTATGTTGGGATCAGCATTGTTTTCTAGCAGGTATTTAACCATTTTGGCTTTACTGACACTCTGGTGATCAACGTGTTTGCTCTTACAAGCAATCATTAAAGGCGTCTCCCCGCGGTCATTGCTCTCGTTAATGTAGGCACCGCCCTCCAGCAAGAGTCTTGTGAGGCGAAGCCGGCTCCGATGGACGGCTTTGATCAGGGAATTTCCATCACGTGAAACTTCTACCCCTTCATCCATCTTCAAAAGTCAGAAATCAATACCTGGGTATAAAAGAAGAAGACCAATAGATTAGCCAGAATCAATGTCCCAATTTATATTCATGTTGTTTTCCACAATTTCTCAAATATGTATAGAGAAAGAAGACATAAACGAGATTATGTTACTAATAAATACCGAGCAAAATAGTGAATTGCAAAATAAAAGAAAGTTTAGAATAGTAACAATGTTTAGGGAATTAGAAAGGAAAATTTACTTTCAAAATCTTCATTGAATATTCATAACACCAACTTAGTACTTCCCTAAATCTGACATTAATTAAACAATAATCCACTTATTTTCTACTTGTGAAAAATATTTTTAAAATAAGACTAAAATGTAAATTTAAGCAAAAAAGGCAAAATTCTGTGTAACTGCAACAGAATCAATTAAAATATAGCATGTTTATGGTAGCTTAATGTAAAAATGTCATAGTATTATATTACTTAAACAAGCTCTTCAGTTAAATAACACAACTAATATCCAGATTTTCAATTTGAGGGGCTATGTTTCTTTTAAAGGATGAAAAGTTATTCGGGCTACCAGACGTTAAAATAACGTCAGGAATTCACACTGAGATAGGAATGGTGAGCATGTGACTATGCATTTTTCTTGATTCCATTATTCAAATCATACACAGATTATGTTATGGGGTCAGCGACATACTGATGGGTTAAATTTTGACAGCAGTACATTTGCTCTGAAAAAGGAGTTTTCTAGGCTAGAAACATGAATGAAGACAAGCAGACTTTATAAAAATTTTATTTTTATCACTAAAACTGAAAATTTGTTTAATTTATCTAAATAATTCAGATTCAATCTCTTTCAATTGATAATTCCATTAGTTGAAAAGCATTATGTCTTTATCTAGAGCTGAGGAAATGTCTGTCTTTTAACAGTCCTTAGAGCTGGGGAGAAAAATCAAATGGAGTTTATATAATATTTAAATCTATTTCATTCAATTAGCTAGTTTTTAGAAATTGGAAGTATTATTTATTCTACTCATTTACTTTTAAAATTAAGAATATGGTACATAAATTTCTACCGGATAATAGATTAGATAATAAATATAATGACCTCTTAACAGACAGAAGAAGAGATGAAGAGAGCAGAAAGAAAGTGAAGAAAAAGGGGAAAGATAGACATGCACGCAGAAATTAATTCAACTGTAAGCTCCTAACGTGTGCCGGGCACGGAGTCAGAAAGGTAGGGGCGCTGGCCCTGGGGAGCGGCCACGGCTGTCTGGAAGAGACGCTGGAGAAGCAGCTGCTTACGAGTTCAAGTCAGGAGAACACACAGGCTTTAATGACTTGGGGACTGAAGGGGGCTTCACAGAGGCCAGCCACTGGAGCTGGGTCTTGAATATCGTGTGAGTTTGGCAGGCAGACAAAGGAGGAAGAGAGAAGTAAAGAACATTCCTTGTTGAATAACCTAGAGGCTTAAAACAGCACAGACATTTATCATAAATCAGGCTCTATTTACGTTGATATAACCAAACTTTAGGAAAATATTTTAGCAGATGGTTATAGTTAGAGTGAATATGGCAGAATACACACATCTAATTTTGCCCCTTCTTGAAATCCCCTAAAACTAAAGAATTTTTAGAAAGACATAAACTCACAAAGATAGCAGGAAAAGGAGAGAAGATGACAGCAACATTTTGGAAGCCAGAATGCAGATGGGCCAGTGGTAACTGACTCAGGCAGCCTGAAAAGGCTGTGCCTCCAGTCATTGGTGGTAAAGCTGAGAACTAAGTCCATGGACACCACAGAATCCTCGAAAGAGGCAGCAGCAGGAAGCTCTAGAACTGGCGGGTGGAGAGGACAGCTAAAACGAGGACTAGGTGAGAAGCTGTGAGAGAAGCGGTTGGATCCCTAGGTCCTTGCTACTGGAAGTGTGATCCCACCTTGTACCAGCAGCAGCAACAGCATTACCTGAAGCTTGTTAGATCTGCAGAATCTCAGGCTCCACCCCAGACCTACTGAACCAGAGCCTACAGTTTAACTAGATCCCCAGGTGATGTGTATGCACATCAAAGTTGAGAAGCACTGTCTCAGGTCTTTCTTCCACTCTACGCTACCAGGAGATGGGAGACTGCCCCTCCCAGCTGAGGAGATGTCCGGAGCTTTATTCTCCAGAAATGGTGACACAGAGAGTCTCCGGGCTGGGAGACACCGAGGATGTTTGAGGACAAGAAAATGGGGGAAAAGTGATTGTATGCCTACTGACCACTGAATGAAGGGACTCACAGCCCTCTGCCTCAACTCGACTTCAAGAAGGCTGGCAGCCACGCCCTTATCCCTCAGGAGAAAACTGCTCTACTCTTCTCTCAAGAATGTGACCTGCCTAAGAGAAAAGGCAAGGCCTGACCACAGGGATTCCCCAACATGCCACCCAGATCATCCTATAGTGAGGCGTAAAGGTGACCATGTGCTCCAGGCTTCACATTAGCTTTTTAACCCAAGCCCTTTAAACATGAGCAGACAGTCAAAACAAAAAACAAACCCAAAAGCCTCTTATGTTAAAGATAGAGACCAGAACAAATAGAAAAAAAAAAAACAAGTTGGAGAAAACAGATATTAGGAAAATGAAAACTTCAAAAACTTATTATCCTCAAAGGGATAAGATGTTTTAACCATGAAACAAGAATAAGATTCTATGAAAAAAGAATATTCAGAGACCACGAAAAGCTCTCAAAAGATACAAACTTGATACAAACCACAAAACTCAATAGAAAGGGATAACATTGACAAAATCTCTAACACAGTCAAGCAAAAAAGAATAGAAGAGAAAAAAGTAAGAAAATTAGAAAGCTAGACCAGGAAATCCAATATCCAACTAACAAAAGTTCCTGCAAGAGAAGGGGTGGGGGGAGAGGTGAGCAGGAGAGGAAATGATCAATGAGATCAAGAGAATTTTCTAGACCTGAGGGACATTCGTTTCCAAATTGAAAGGGCCCAATTAGATCATAGCACAATGGATGAAGACACCCTGACCATGGTGCACGGCTGTAAATTTCCAGAACACTGAGAACAGAGAAGATTCCACAAGCCTGGAGGCAAGAGGTGGGGAGTGGGAGGGATAAGTCAGATACTAAAGGATCAAGAATTAGAATGGATTCAGATACATCAACAGCAACAGTGAAAGACAATGGAGGAATGTTTTTAGAAATCTGAAGGAAAAATGATTCCCAACTTAAAATTCTGTATCTAGCCAAAGTATCAGTCAGAAGTTGGGCTACACACTCAAGAATCTACTGGCAGATGTAATCTACTAAGATGAAATGGTAGAACAAGAAAGAAGAAATGAGATACCAGAGGCTGGAGATCTTTATAAAGGAGAGGCATCGAAAATCCCCAGGAGGATGGCGAGAAGAGATGCCAGGATAATGGAGGTACACAGACATCATCTCTGAGATCACTCTGCCATTTTACCACCCTGTTAACTGAGGACCAAACGCTCAGGTGAGCTTGCCCTCGGTTCTTTGATCTCCTTGTTTTGTCCTGACCACATCTCTGCTCTCTTCTTCATGCCCTGCTTTCTGGGGCAGCCAGTGGAACTCATTTCAACCCTGCTCAATTGTTCTGCTTTGACCTGCTCTGAGATCTGGGGATAAGCTGTGGGGAGAGTAGGAAGAGAAAGACTGAACGCCCATTCCCTTTGGATACACAGTCCCTGGTCTACACGACAGCCCTCCCAGAAGTCCTGTAATGGTGAGCCCCGTGTTTCCCAGGACTCACTCATGACTTTGCCCAGAAGGGGCTCTTGTAAACGTTCAGGGATGCTGAGCCAAACTAAGATCCAGAAATGGTTCAACTGATCTTCTCCTGAGAGCATTCATTGTGTATTGGCAATACTGACTTTTATTCATCTAATTTTGTGCTTGCTACCCAGTTTTCCAAAAATAAACACTTAATTTACTTAAGGAATATACACTAGTGGGAAACTGGGGGGAAAAACAAAGCAAAGGAAGTGATTAACACAAAAGTCAAGAGAAAGTTTCTTCTTTGTGGGGGTAGGGAGAACAATGCAATTTGGGAGGGACACACAGAGGCTTTTCAGGTTCAAGTAATGCTCCGTTTCTCAACCCGGATGGTAGGTACATGGATGTTCACTTTACTCTTCTTTAAATGGTACATATTTCACATACGCTTCTTATGATACTGCTATTATCTGTTGTCAAATAGAACATGTATATAGAAAAGAGCACAGTGTTTATGTAAAATATGCTTCACAATAAAAAAAAGTTTATAAAGAGTCTACTAGGTCTTACTTTTTGCAGCATAATTCAGTTTTTGTGGTATTATCAATAGTATTTCTGCCTAGACTTTCAAGGAGTTTCAACTAGTAAGCTCCTGAAAGGCAGTATTCAAAAGAATATACTTTTTGTTTCCACTTTAGTATCATTCATGATGTTAAGCAAAGGACAACTACTCAATATATACAGACATAAATACAATGAAAGCGAATGACATGATTTTTGTCTCCCTGTGCAACGTTCCATAAAAGCTATTCCAGAGCCACACGTACCTGCAACTCAGGAACTTGGGAATTTAGGATTGTCGACAGCTTGGGTCCCAACTCAGAGGTCCATTCTGGATGCAAAGCATCTGAAAAGAGCTCACATAAGATGCTGGTCACAAAAGAAACCTTTTGTTAGCATTTTCATATACAAATGGATTTAATAAAGCAAAGAGACTCCGAGAAATGAGCTGGAACATAACATCACCTAGTTATGTTACTTAGAAACCACTTAGTCACTGTAATTCAAGAAGAGAGACAGTATCAATCATGTAAAAACACCTTTGACCAAAAGTAGCATTTGAGAAACAGATGACTTGAAAACAAGTTGCCAGACAGCAGATTTCAATACTATACTCTCATATAGTCTAGTATTTGGGCCAATCTTGCTTAAAAAAAAGAAGTTTTATAAGAATCTTTTGGAAAGATTTTCAAACCTTTTCACCTATCCTCACATAAAGGTCTTTCTCCACAACATGAAGTCTCACCACTTTCTGTCACAACTTTATCTCATCGAGGTTGGCATCAGGACGTTCTGGGAGAAGAAGGGGAGCTGACAATGCCAGCTGGGATGCCTGAGGGGGGCAGTGGCCCCACTGCAGTCCTGTGGAAAGGGAGGGTGCTGTGGGCTCCAGGGCCTCAGAGATGCTGGGCAGTGGACCACTAGCTAGTGGCCCCTAGCGAATCTATCTGCCAGGTGGGCAAGGCAGACCCCTCCCAAGTACTGGAAGACCGTCTAGCAAAAAACAACTGTCTAGCAAAAACAACAAAGGTTTCCTCTTTGTTATAAACTTTTAAATTGTTCACATTTAGTAGAGCAATTTTGAAATTGTTTAAACATTACATTTTTCAGAGAAAAAAGTGGTCAGACACTTTATTCTCCACATGTACACGTTTGGTTCCCGAGTGTCTCGTTTTGTAATCAATGTTTTATTGGAATAATCCCCTCGTCTTTATGCCTTCACTCTCTTTCAGCTGGTTCTTTTTTCTTGCCTCATCCATTTGCACATCAAAAATGCTCAATATTGAAGTTTGACTAATTTACTCTTCACAGAGGCAAGCCCTACCTGTGGTAAAGACCACTTCTCTAGCCTCCAATTATCCCAGTTCAGAAGTGTTCTTGGCTCCTGTCTCCTCCTGTGAAACATCCTCACTGAGCACCCAGGGCTGATACTGTATTAACATTCAGGCGGACCCTTTGTTAAAATCTAGCTTAGACATGATTCCCAAGTTCAGTTACACCTTCCAAGAGGATCACAGTTCAACTGGAGAAAGTTCGGGGGTCAGACAGACCCAGATTTCCATCCTAACTCTCCTACTTACTAGCTGTGTGCCCTGGTCAAATCTGTCAGCCTCTCAGAGTCGGGGTCCTCATCTGTGGAACGACAATCATATCACATTCATCCTGAGGGGGCATGATGAAATCAGACGACGTCTAGAAAGATTGCCCTGTTGTGCTTCCTACTCACTGCATTCTTCTTTTTAAAAATTTTATCTCAGAATTTAGCCTTCTTTTATTTTTATCATGTCTCTAATCCATAGGCTATTTAAATAACAGATAGAATATTTAAAGTGTTGTTTTCTTAGGATCTGTAAATAATGTTTGTAAACATAAATGGAATCTAATAAGTGAAAAATGGATAAAAGGTATCCTTTAAGTGCATTTTCCTTATAATTTCCAAATACAATAATTTCAGTATTATTATAAGACATTAATTATTAAATAGCTGGATAAATTGCTTTTTATTTTTTTATTTTATTTTATTTTTTAAAGATTTTATTTATTTATTTTCCCCCCAAAGCCCCAGTAGATAGTTGTATGTCACAGCTGCACATCCTTCTAGTTGCTGTATGTGGGACGCGGCCTCAGCATGGCCAGAGAAGCAGTGCGTTGGTGCGCGCCCGGATCTGAACCCGGGCCACCAGCAGCGGAGCACGTGCACTTAACCGCTAAGCCATGGGGCCGGCCCAATTGCTTTTTATTTTAAAATTAGAATGTCTTTAACATCATTTGCAACTCATCATGGCATATTTTCTATACTCTCTTAGTGCCTCTATTCCCAAGACCCCACTAAAATTACAGTTTAGTTATTAAAAAATAATAATAAAGATATACATTCTGAAGAACAAAGAAAACTAGAGCAGAGATATCATCAGACAAGCAATTTCAAACAAGCTTTGGAAAGAGAGGGGGATGGTGGTATGGGAAACTGCATTAGCATAGCAGAGGGTGCAACACAAAGCATTTGGGGAGGAGGCCCCGATGCCAAGGGAGCCAGCTTACCCACAGGACCCACGAAGTTTAGGACCTGGAGGCCCCAAGTGACACAGAAGGTGGCGATGAGGCACAGGGCTGAAATGAGAGGATGATTCAAAGTCTGTGGACAGAACAACCGGACCCCCAGATCCTTTACCCACTCCGCCCACAAGTAGACAGCCACTCTCCTAGGCAAGAAAATAAAGTTTTCTTCTCTGAACAGATTGATCAGAAACGTTCCAAACTTGGAGGCAGCAAGCTGAAAGCAGAGGATAGAGTAAGAGTCTACAGGCTGGATGGTGGAATTCCCAGTTCTCTGCCCTGCTACCAGAAGACTGAAGCCAGGAGAGGGAGGAAAAAGCCTTGGATCTTAGATGAGCCCTATTAAAAATATCTGTCGATAAATGAAGCAATTCAAATCATAGCTACATTTGCCCCTTCAGACACCCACTCTAAATGGAAATAGAAAGCTACCTGAAAATGTTATTAAAAATTTCATACTTCACTTGTGTCTTTTCTCTCCCTGGATGAGTTTTCTGTCAGCCAGCTGTCAGTTCCTACTGAAAGAAATCAAAGCTATTCAGAGTTACATAAACACCAATAATTTGTTCCACACATCTCTCCCATTTGGAGTCTGGTTTTTCAATTCCTTGTGAAGACATTTCTACAGTGTTTGTTCAGTTACTCATATTTCACTGATTATGAGTCTGCAGAAGTATGTGGAGTGGATCCTATGCACGGCCATCCGTGTGTGTGTGTGTGCATGCGTTCGTGTGCGTGTGTCTGCAGGACTCAGCCTGCTCTTCGAGGACTGCTGGGATTGGATCCCCAGGTCCAGCCCGCATTCTGTGCAGATGGGGAGGTGGGGGCAGGTACAGGCGGGAACTCTCCCAAAGTCCTCTTACTGCCTGCTCCCCAGGACTTAATCAGATATTCCCGTGCCCTTTCTCTTATGTCTCCTTGCTTCTTGGATGGCCAGCTTCCCACAGAGTAGGGTTCTGTTTTGAGCATCTGATTTGAGTGGTATGTTACATGGCAGTGCCACACGGCTGTGCTTTAAAAGCCGTCCTGGAGATGATAGGTTTGGCAGTTCCTGTGGCTTTTTGTCCCCAAGCCACCCTCAGTTTTCCTCTCATTCAGAGAGAAATATTATTTTCCTCTGAGCCTCTTACTTCACCTCCAAACAGGATTCGTGTTCCCTCCCATAAAGTTAGTTGTCTGGCCATGGTGGGGGAGGGCGGCAAGGGGGTGGAAATCAACAAATGGGTTTCAAGCTTGAAATGCAGCCCCTCACCCTGGCTCCAGGTTGCCCCCTCTTTGTGCTGCCCACAGGGGGACCAGAGCGAGCTCAGAGGAGGCAGCAGGCTGTGCATCAGAGAAAGGGCTCTGCCTCTTCCTCGACCAACCCTCAGGAAGCTGTTCCTCTGAGCCTCATTTTAGGGATAATATCTACTTTACAGAAGATGATTGTGAGGATTTAAAAAGATCCTAATACACTTGCCACTTAGGAATTCAACAAATGTCGGTTGCTAAACACGCATCACTAACTGGGAATCCTCTGGGCTGGTGGGGTCTGACAGTCGGAGGCCAAGGTGCCTGACAGGTTCTCCACCTTCTGTGTTCACACAGGAATCACGCAGGGAGCTTGCTCAAAATAAGAGTGCAGGCTCCACTCCCAGATAGGCAAGACGGCGTGCTTCCTCTGTGCACCTGGAGAAGATCTGCCACAAACTCTCCCCTCAGTCCACTCTCACTTCCCATCTGCTATCAACCCCGCCTCAGGCTGCCACCAGGCTGTCTCCTCATCACCTCCAGGGGTCTGATGCTGAACTCGCCTGTAGGAGCAAGGGCACAGATGACTCCTGCAGCCCAGAGAGGAGTAAAGGGAGACCACAGCTCCAGAGAAGAGTGCAGCCTCCGGTGAGAATGGGCCAGAGGCTGGAGGTTGCTGTCCTGCCCTTCCTAGCCAGGTCTGAAGAAATCCAGGGCTGCAGTGGGCAGCCCAAGGCCAGGATGCCGCGGCCAGCCGCACTTGGAATGAGGTGGCCTGCCTGCCACAAGCAAAATGTGTCTCCTCCCCATGCAAGGCAAGGGGCAGAGCCAGAACAAAACTGTGTTTCCTACACATACCCCAAAACCGCTGGTGTCTTCTAGTTACTTCGGCTGTCCCCCAGGCCTCTGGGGCTGGGCCCTGGGGCAGCTACACCCCCATCTCTCTCAGCAGACTCCCTCCTAGCACACACACGCAAACCTATACCTTCAAGTCTCAGGGAACCAAGGTGATGGATTTCCAAGCTGTTGAGGATTCTGGCCGCCTCTTCACAGTCCCAGCTGGCTCCGGGAACCGAGTTCGTTTCCTCGGCTTTTGCCCAGAGCGGGAGGGAGTGAGCCCGAGGTGCTGTCGGAGAAGGGCAAAGGAAGGTGACTGGGGCGACAGCGCCGGGGCACCGGTGGGGGCGGGGTGCGCGTTTCGTCGCCTGGTCTCGGAGCCAAGGCAGGCAGCTGGCGGGCTGAGGCGATCGCCATCCAAGAGCAGGGGTTCTGCCCAGAGCCGTTGGGGAGCGGTCCCCGCACCGCCGGCCCGGAGGACGCGGCCCTCCCCTGGGAAATGGCGCGCCCGAGGGGAGCAGCCATTGCCCCCATCCTGGGGCAAGCGCACCTCTGGACCCCGGCTCTCCGGTAAAGGGGGTCCGGGGTCCTGGTGCCAAGGCTGTGCGCCCCCGAGAGGCGCCGGGACCGGACTGCCCGCCCCTATGTGGCTCCCATTTGTCGAGCCAGTGGCTGCAAACGGCTCCGCAGCCCCCAGCCCGCACCTCCCGCTGCCCGGCGGCGGGAGGCACCTGCGGAGACGCG